CGTTTCAGAGGTTCTGGTACATGATTGCTTGACCCTGTCACTTTGAGTATGTGTGCAGTACATCTTGGAGGGAGTACAGATAGAGACTGCTCACTTCATAGCAGCCAGGAAATCGAGAGGGAGAGATGGAATGGCTGGGGTCTTCAGATCCCCCAAGCACACATACATCCAATGATGTAATTTCCTACTACTGATTTCACTTTCTAAAAAATCCGACTACCCCTCAAAAGTGATTCAGGCCTTTAGTAAATGCCTTCAGGGACAATCAAGTTCCAGATTACAGCATTCCACTCTAGCCGACAAAGGCTCATGTCCATATCCCAATTCAAAACTCATTTAGTCTATCTTCCAGGCATCCCCAAAGTCTATTAACATTCCTAGCACTGCTCAGGAGGCCAAGTCTAGACTTCTTAGAGACTCAATACAAATTATTAGCTGGGTACTCTTTTTAAAAATATATGTATATACACCAGTCACCAGTGGCTCACACCTATAATCCTAGCTACTCAGGAGGCTGAGATCTGAGGATCACAGTTCGAAGCCAGCCCAGGCAGAATAGTTCCCATGAGACTCTTATCTCTAATTAACCACTCAAAAACCAGAAGTGGCACTGTGGCTCAATTGGTAGAGCACTAGCTTTGAACAAAAGATCTGAGGGACAGCACCCAAGCCCTGAGTTCAAGGTCCACACTAACAAAAAACAAAAAGAAAAAAAAATAATGCTTCCAAGATAAGATCAGACAGGGTAAATATTCCTGTTTGAAAAGGGAGAAGTAATGAACATAGCAAGGGCAGTCTGACCAGAGAAAATCTGTAACCCACCAGAGAAAGTCCTTCATATCTGCTGTCTTGAGCACCCATCACATGCATGCTGAGATATAAGCTCCAAAAGGACTTAAAGTACCCACTGTCTCAGTCTGGGCCTCCTTACCATTTGCATCCTTTCTTAGTAGGTGTTTCATGTTCCTGTTGTTGCTGACTTCCAAGATTCTTGTGGAAACTTTGGCTCTCTTTTCATATCTTCATGCATCCTCATTGGATGGGCTGTTTGCAGATACTGAGCTTGAAACATGATGCCTGTCACCTCTCAGGCTTTCTCTTGAAATCCCAGTGGAAGCCTCCAAGACTTCCTGACTCTTGTGTTCTGCATGAAATAATTTCATAGCAAAATGGTTCATATTCCTCCTTCATAGTTATGGTGATATTGGAAGATCTGTTTATTTGTAATTAAAAGTCCACCAATACAGAGGGAGAGAATGCCTTCAAGAATCCAACGTATATCCTACATAATTAAGAAGTATGAGGGAAGGAGAGGGTTAGGAGAGAGAGAGGTGAGAATATTTAAAGAGGTGACATTGGTCAAGATATATTGTATTCATAAAACTACTTTGTTAAATGTCAATTCCTTTGTACAACTACTTAAAGATAATAGTAAAAAAGAAAAATTGCTCTGTTTTCATTGACACATAAAACACAGTTACTTTCTGATTATGTAGCTGCACAATTTTATATTTGACAATAAGAATTTGATTATTGGGGAAACCATAATTGCCTGTGGAAAAAATACCACTAGAAATTTAAAGTCAAAAGCTATTGTTTTAGGTGGGAAAAAAAAAAGAATATATCTCTATCAAGTAAAGGAGGTCAAGTTCATCTTTGTACAGATTTTTATTAATTGAAAACATTGTATTAAATCTAGCTGTAAAATGCTTAAGCTGTCATCCTCAAAGAGCTACATTGGTATTTTAGCACTTTCCATTGTGTAGCTATTGTGCAAATAGGTTGTTTCTCAACAATGTCTTTACCAGATGATTTGTATCCTATTTAATCTGGCTTGACACACGTAATTCACAATAAAAATGTATTTGTAGGAATTTATATTCTAGTGGTACTTGATGAGTCTGTTTTTATTATTTTTAACACTTTCATAGGGTTGAATGAATGCCATTTTTAATTGTAGCACTTGTCAGTGTAAAGCATATGTATCTTTCACCCCCTTTTTCAACTCTGTTCTATATTCAGGAACTTGTTTTTGCAAAGTTTCTATTTCCTAAAATATTTCATACAGTGATACCGCAGACAAAAATATACTTTTTCTGTAGCCAAAATTAATTATATGCCCATTGATAAGGTACTTTGTCAGCTGTGATAGATTTCAGTATAATTAAGAACACTTTAGTTTTCTAACTATGGTACCTACTTGCAATAGTGTGTAATAGTGACCCTCTTTAATATAAATGTTCTGACATTTGAAAGTCTCATTACAAATTTAATCTTGTAATAAAGGAGAGTATGATTTTTACTTCTAGCCACATTATTCCAGTTATGAATATTAAATGTGTCTTGCCAAACCAGCTCTTCTATCATCATTTTTTTGTGTGCAGGCTGTTGAAATTCTTGTATTATTTCCTTATCTTCTCATGGAGGTTAGGAATGAGAAGGGGAGAATACAAGCTGAGGTTTTTCACTTTGCTTATATTACCTGCTTAGAATTATTTTTTAAAAAGTCAGTTGATAATATTTATCCCCAAAATTTCCTGTGAAAATCCTCCTGGGGAGTTTGTTCTTGACCAAAATAAAACTAAAGGTGGCATTCAAAAATTGGGTAGAGTTGCTAATTGAAGCCAAGTTGGTCTGGAGTTCAAACTTCTGTCCCCGGCTTTAACCATTAACTTGACTTTAGCAAAAGGCCAAACTTCTGATCAGGTTTCCTTACGTGTATAACATGACTGGTAATAATAACATGTAGTAAAGAATGTTACCATGAGAACTTAAAAGAACCAACGTATAATGTTCGATAGATAGATGCTAGATGGGGTTAGTAGTGGTACAGTGTTAGAAGCAGTAAAATCATGGAAAAAGGGAATACTGATTTATTCTCTAGTTTTTCATTTATATATATACAACACCAATTATAAGAAAACCAATTAACGCATTAACTGGTAATTGAATTACAATTGTGGCAAATTGTAGGCAATTTTTATCTTTGTTGAAGCCTTATGAATTTAGTTAAAGGACAGCAGCATTGAAATTCACAAAAGATTTTGTCTGGTTTTACAAAGAATTATATTTTTTCCATTGGTCTAACAACAAATATTACCTGTTAATTTTGGGGCTATTGAAGAAATTAATAAACTAACAGTACTAAAGACATTTATTGACTATTCACTCAGTATGATGCTGTGTGCAGGAGATATTAATATACTAATGGAGATAGATTTTTTCAAAATATATGTATTAAAGACTTTATATTTAATCATATAATATAATAAGTAGGCTTACTATAGTAGGCCCAATATGAAGAAATGGATTTCAGTTCTGGATAGGAAGCAAAGATCTGGTACTTTATATACAAGCAGAAAACTTGGGAGGGTGTGATATATATTTGGTTTTATTTCATCGTGACTTTTTTTATTGTGAAAATACTGTACAAAGGGGTTACAATTACATGGGCAAGATAATGAGTACATTTCTTATCAAGCATTGTAGCCTCCTCCTTTGTTTCCCCTTCCCATCCCATCTTTCCCCCTCCCCCCCAACCCTCCTCCCCCTCCCCTACCAAAGTTCTAAAGTTTGTTTTCGACATAAAGACTTGTACGTCTCATTGTTGCAATGGGTCCACCTGTATCCCTATTTAAACTATTTATTTTTTCCCTTCCCCTCCACAAATTATAACAACATCAAATACAGTGAAAGCAGGGGAGGGACATACAAAGCAACAAAGAAATAATCTTATAAATGTGCTAGAAACAATCGCATGAAAGAAAAAAAAAACATTTGAATACATATCTTAGGGTTCATTTCCCTAACATCAACTTATCTGACCTTTTCTGCTTGACTCAGACATATACTAGATATTGCAAATAAGGGAAACCATGGGACCTATGTTTCTTTGGGCCTGGCTTACTTAAATGACTTTCTTTTTAAACAATCACCATCTTTTGAGTCACATATGAGATTCATGCCATTCATTCACTCTTTCTTGTGGTCATTAATGTTACTTCATTAAAACAAATTTTAATACTATGCGCTGCCCCTCTAGGACAGTCTGAATGAGTTGCGTTGACATGTATGGCTGTGATACTAGTAAAGCAGTATCAACATTTTCCTATAAGAATTTCTGTTCTGTATATTTCACTTTTGTTATCATGAGAAAGTTCATTATTTCTTTTTTTCCCCAGCATATGTTTCTGTGGCTACATTTTATTAGCTGATTGGCATACTTTCACTGGAAAAAACAAAAAGAATTTTTCCTATGAAGTTTTGATTATACTTGTAAAACTATGCTAAAAATATATGAGGCATTTATGTAAAACAAAATATATGTAGATGAAGATTCATCAAAGAGAAATCTTTAGCTTATCATTTAAGTTCTTGTTATTGGCTTGTTCTATCAACAGCTAACATAATTATGCCCTATAATATTTGTAGTTCATATGTCTATCAGTATTTAAACATATTACTTAGCACTAATTCTTAATTACATATTCATCTTGATTATGAGAACACTTGGTATAAATTATTCACTAATATTGATTGGAAATAATGACCTCCTAATGTTGATATAAACAAGAGAGTAATTTCTACCTATTAATACTGGACAAGGTTAATTTTGCTTGTCCCTTTATAGTAATGAATCACAAATGCAAATTGACACTTATCCCTAAGCAAACAAGGATGTTATCTAAATTAAAACAAGATGGAGTAAGACACATGTTCATTATACTAAAAGTAGTAGTTTGCGATTTTATCTGAAGGAAAATCTCAGTTGCATACAAACTAGTATTCCAGCACTGGTGAACTTAGATGATAAATTTTACTATGTGCTTAATTGTTGTATCCTCTTACATGTACTTCACTATTACTGTCAATGTAACATATAATAATAGGTATATATATAGTTATACATGGAACTTTTTGAATGGATTAAAAAAATTACAATCATAAAACAAACATTTTCTTCATGTTCTTTTAGTTTCATTTGGGTTTTGTGTTTGCAGAGCGCCCTCTTCACTACACTGAAAATGTTTTGGAGCAGGTGCTTCAGTGGAGTTCATTAGCTGAACCTGGCTCTGCGTATCTTGTGGTGAAGAGATTCTTAACGACTGACACAATTAAACACTGCAGAGGTGAGGTTCCATTGCTTCCCCTCTCACAGGCTTGGAAATTCAAGTGATTACAGAATAATTATTAAGGGACAAGTGGTGTTTGAAAATACAAAAAAAAAAAAAAGAAAGAGTACCCAAATACAGAATCTCATTACTGTAAAGAAGAAGAAAATACAGACAAGGGAGAAAATTCCCTGGCTCATGGCGGCATTTGGCTAATTTGCGGGTATAAGTTAAAGTGTGGGAACAGAATGGTTCATGTTTTCAAAGGTTGTTTTTGCCCTACTTGTTTTTGCCTGCTAACATGTGTCCCACCTTTAGATTGATGGTGAGTAGTTTCCTTGAATTACATATAATTTGGGGGGTTTTCTGGCTGTTGACCATGTACAAGTTATACAGGCTTTGAAGTTGATTGGGTTTCTCACTTTTTCTGCGATACTGATATTGAAAAACAAGTAAATATGAAATATAGCACTTCCAACAAGTATACCTACCATCTCATAGGGAAGAAACTACACATGGTTCGGTTCATTGTGAAGTTAGCCAGCACAGTGAGCTCTGTCACACAGTCCCGGGCAAGTATGAGATAACAGAACTTTATTTTTATTTATTTTTGTGTGTGTGTGTGTGAAACTTTCACTTTTCTGTTCTGGAATTATCTATGTCAGCTTAGAAAAAATTTCAGTCTGCCTCACATATAAAAACCAGTTACCAAAGCAAAGAGTTAAAGATTTTTTTAGTATATAATTCACCATAACTTTAATAATATTAATAGCCCTTAATGTTTATTAATCACATCATTATCAAGTTTTCTAGATTCTGAATCAGATTTAAACATTCAAAAATGCCCTTTTAAGCTCTCTTGGTGTTTTTAAGTGAGGAAAATGGAAGATGAGATTAGGTAAGTAAATTTCCCTAGATTACAGGGAGAACATAATTGGTCTGTTTGTCAGAATTTTTTTTGAGAGTTGGGAAGTTGGCATGGCTATAAATTGCTATAAGCTTTTTCAGATTGAATACAGGTACTTCAACTAATAGTTGTACACCGAGCTCTTAATTGTATTAAAATTTAACTGATAAATTCTGATTTCATAGTACTGTCCGTATATTATACTTACGTGCAAGTACTTTTACAAAATGCAATCTTTTTTTTTTTTTTATTTTTTTGGGGGTCCGGTCGTGGGGCCTGAACTCTGGGCCTGGTGCTGTCCCTCAGCTCTTCAGCTCAAGGCTAGCGCTCTACCCCTTGAGCCACAGTGCCACTTCCGGCTTTTTTCTTTTTGCTTATGTAGTGCTGAGGAATTGAACCCAGAGCCTCATGCATGCAAGGCAAGTGCTCTACCACTGAGCCACCTTCCCAGCCCTGCAATCTGTTCTTATGAGCACCTAAATCATCCAAACAGGTTTTAGTCATTTTGCCATAGAAGGTTATTTTTTCAGAGACCTTTATCTTCTTTTAATGATTTTGATCTACATCCATGCCATACTTTCTGAAAGACTACAAGAAGAATTCTCTGTAGTTATTTGAGTGTGTCATGTATCTCTTGGGTAGGGGAGCTTATTGATGTCCTTAATGGGGATATTTTGTGATAGATTCTGGGTAGTTCAGGTATTTATTCTATGTTGTGTTGGCTAATGTATCCTAAATCAATAACAAATACCCACCTACTCCTATTCCAGAATCATTGTTCCATTTAATATTTCTATACCCAGCAAGTGGGCCATGGGGATCTAGAAGGAAATTAATGAAAGTAGAACAAATGTGATTTCTTTGACAGTTTATTAGAAGAAAATCTGGAATCATCTCAGAAACAATTGTTCTTCAAAGCAGAAATGTATTTCATTACCTTTTTTCCATTCTTAAGATTTTTTTTAGTCTATTAATAGGGCCAAGTGGAAATCTGCAATTTGAAAACAAGAGTATCTAAGTAACACATAGCTAATGTATAACATGTTAAAACAGAAAGTTGGGCTGGAATCTAGATCAATGAGTATTGGTCAAATTGCATGAGGACCTCTCTTCAAGCCAAGACACAAAAAAAATAAAAGCAAAATGCAAAACATTTTACAAGATCCTTTGCAGTCTGCTTCCTCCCTTCACATTTCTCTTTATGTCCTTGTCCCTAAATCTCTACCACATATATATATATATGTATATATATATATATATATGTATATACATCTATATCTACACACACACACACTCATATATATATATATATATATATATATATATATATATATATATATACTATTGTTTGCATTTTATTAACTTAGCATATTACCGTATGGAATAAATTTTTCCTTAGCATATGGAATAAATTATACTTTGTACTTTTCTTTGATAAATTGCTTCCAATATTTTTTCCCTTACCCAAGTATTTTATCATTGTATAAGTATTTGCTAAAGTTTAGGAGTTTAAATTTCTTCATTATTCTCACTAATCTGACTAATTTTAAAATAGAGACGTTTTAACAAGGATAGGTTTGGGTTATAATCACCCAACATTTAATATTTGCTTAATCATTTTTAGGTAATGAGATAGCATTCTTGACTTTTACAGAAGTACATAGGAGTAGCAGAGTTTTCTGTTGATGTCTTAAAATCAGTTCTGTGTTTTTTAAAAGCAGCATTTTATTCAGAAACATTTGTGTCATTGCCATTATCCTAATGAGGAGTTAATTAACTTGAAAAGAAATATAATAGTCCTCAAATTCCATCTCTACTTTGTCGTTTAAAAGCTAAGACATTTAGGCATAATGAAACTTCATTTAGCTGCTATTTAAACTTTGTCATAGCTATTCTTACTAGACTATCTTTTTATCATTATCCTTTATAGTAAACTCTCCAAATTTGGCCTTCTGAAAGGCTCTGGAAGAATTTTATGTTGCAAAAGTCTAATTTTTATCATTAAAGTTCTTTAAAACTACAGTAGAATTTCAGTTAGGAGAATAAAAATCTTAATTTATATAAGAAAGCCATATTTAAACTTACAACTTAAGTGTAAAACCCTGTTTTGTTTGTCCATTTAAGTGGCTACATATGTCAGACGCATTTGAAACTTAAAACAGAATGCAGCTGCTCTTTACAGATAAATCCAGACTTGGAAATTAAGCCCTTCACTACCAGTAGAATTAAAAGAATCTTTCTGCAACAATAATGCGAGTCTATACATTATAGTTTAACAGAATTTATTCACATTTCACTCCTTATCAGATCTTCTTGTTAAATGCAAGGATGTGAAAAACAGGCTGAAGGTTAAAACCTAGATCACTTAGGAGGAAGGGTTATCTTGGAAATTAAATTACAGTCATTGGTATTCACTATAGATTATGAATGTCCTGATTTTTTCTGATAGTATAATTCTATGGAGAGAAAACCAATGGGTGAGGCTTATTAGCTTTCTTTTTCATGCAGGAATTTAATGTAGAAAATGTAAAGGATTGTTAACCATTATCTTTACCCAGAAGGAAAAGAAAATCTAAATGTCTTAAGTCTAAATGTCTCCTTGTGAGACTTGCAAATACAGCATATAATAAATAACTGTTTTAGCCAAGATGTTTATAGAAAGCTTTCAACCATAGAAAATAGTTCAAAGAGATCATTACTGACATCTCTTCAAACACTGCAAGTCTCTTATTCAAGGCAATATTATTGTTTGCTTATGTTTTATTGTCTTGGTATAGAAGACACAAGTCTGTGTTTAATATTAAGTGAACTGAATTCTAATTCTAAGATGGCTACTTTTGAAACTGGACAAATTAACAGCAAAAGCTGTAATTTTCTTGGTTATAAAATGATTTCCTACTTAGGAAAGTTTCAGGAGAATCATAGAAGCTGATATATACAAGCTCTTTGAAAACTGCAGTATTATCTTGGTATGCCATAGGAGCAGGCTGAAAACTACAGCCTAATTTAATATAAAAATCTGTTGTGCTGTTTGTTTTAAACCAATTTATTGAAATTTGCTGTAATAATAAAACTAGAGAAATAGTTTTCTGCCTTTTATAATTAGCTGTACTGTCAACAAAATGGTAAAGAATCTCTGGCTCTTTAGAGTTCTGTGCCAGTATACTTGTTTGACTACTTATAGATATCTAAGTATAGCAAAGTGTCAGGAGGCTGCTAACCTGTGAACAAGTTCTTCTATACAAATTGAAAATCAGATTGGAAAGGACAAGTGGATTTGAATTTATTATTTTTCTATTATTATTTAATTTTATATACCCAAAATATAACCATTACAACATGTAATCAGTATGTAGAGTATTGATTTCAAATGTAGAATATTTCCTTTTTTCTTTGAATGAAGTCTTCAAGCTCTGGTATATGTTTTACAATGCTAGCACACTTGGTTGAGATTAACCACATTACATATGCTTCCATCCCAGGGATAATGGGACATCATTGGCAAACCTGCGCATAATAAAAAACTGTTTCTGACAATGATGCTCCTAGATGCTCACCTTAGGCTGCCTCATGGCAAAAATACAGTGATTAAATTAACAAAAATGAAAATATATACATGGTTTATTTTGTATTCCAAACAAGTGAAAATGGACCCAACTCACAAAAATAATGCTATCTTTCATAGATACAAGCATCAAAGAAGGAGTCTTGAAAATAAAAGAAGAGCCCTCTAAAATTCTATCTGGAAATAAGTTTCAAGATCGCTATTTTGTTCTACGAGATGGACATCTCTTTCTATACAAGGATCCGAAGGTAATGTTAAAAACAGGATTTGAACATGTGCACGTCTTGTGTGGTTCACAATATTCTTATATTATATTCCTCCCTGCCATCTCTCTTGAGGTCATTGTAGAAAATAAAATGCATGGTAAGCTGACTTTTTTCAGCACTCTGAGATATGATATTAATGGTCAGTAATGTAGTGGCTAACCCCTTAAAAAAATTTTAGGGCATAGAATGACTTAGCCTTGAAGACAATTGTAATGTGGTTTTATAGAAACTAGCATCTAAAACTGCATTCTGACCAATAAAATTGAGAGAATGCATAATACCTTGAAGGCAAAGGAAGCTTAAGTTGAGCTAATGGAAATTAATGAAAAGTAGCTTTGAAAGCAAAACCTGGAGTTTATAATAAATCATTCTTGTACACTTGAATAAATGGACTTGTGTCATCTTATTAACTGAATCTTACAGAATATTCCCTGTAAGTTTGAATTGCCTAAAAGCTTTTATAAAACAATGGTAGACTAGAGATAAAAGCTAGAATTAAAAAAAACAGATAAATAATGTAGGTAGAAGAGTATTGATGTTAACATCTGAAAATCCCATCTCTAGTTGTGAGTATTGATGTTAACATCTGAAAATCCCATCTCTGCTAACAGCTAGTTGTTTTGCCATGATGATACTGTGGACAGGTTGTTCTAATGCTTAAATAAAATATATGTAAAAGTACTTGATATATATATATATATATATATATATATATATATATATATATATTCTGTATATATGCCATATATACAGAGAGAGTAGCTTGTTTCTCAAAAGACATAACTGAGAATATGAATAGGTAATGTCAGGCTGAACAAATTTATTTGTGTTTTATAAATCTGAGGAAAGGACTTGTGTAGGATATAAAGAACCATACAAATGAGCAATAGGAAGATAATCCTATAAACATTTGGGCTAAGGATACAACAGAAACTGTATGCAGGAAGTTGTAGAAATGACTTACAAGTCTTTGAGCCAGAAACACTTAACGTCGTTAATCATCAGGAAATTAAAAGTATAATATATTGTTTTGTGCTTGTTGGTATTATGATTAAAAACACTCTTGACAACTTCAGCATTTAAAGAAGTAATTAGAATTCTCATCAGGTTTTAGTGGAGGATAAAATTGTACAGTTACTATATAGAAATATCTAGAAGTTATTTTATTCATCTATTTTCTCCTTAATTCAGCAGTGCCATTCCTAAGTGTTAGGTCCATGAACACATTGTAACCAGCTTATTTATTAGCAACTTTAACTTTTAAAAGCTAATGCTTGGAAATATTCCAAATGTCCATATATAGATTGATATATTTATATAAAAGAATATATGTATATATATGAATCTTTCATTGAGATAAGGTCTAACTCTTTGGCTTAGGGAAGACTAAGCCTCACTATGTAGCTCAGGCTGGGCTTGCACTCTTGATCCTCTTGCTTCAACCTCTTGAATGTTGGATTACAGGTATTTACCACCACACCTTGCCCAAAATGAATGAGTTCCAATACATGCAGCATTGGTCACTCTTCTAAACTTGGATGAGCAAAAGAAAGCATGTTACCAAATAGAGAACCATATGCAAAACCTTCCTATGGTCTTAGAGATCAGAATGGTTTTGCCCAGGCCATATAGAAAAGTTGACTTAGGATTTCCAGGGAAAAGATCCATAGGCTACTTTCTAGAAATGGTCTCTGTCCTGTTTTGGATGGTGATCACTTGGGTGGAAAGTCTACTGCTTTGAGATTGGAAGATTAACGAAGCAATTAATTACTTTACAAGCAAAATGAAAGTAGGACCTGGGTATTACTGGATGTTAATACTTACTTGAGTAGACATTGCCAATTCTATATGAACAGCCAACACCTCACTGTGTTCTATGTAAGAAAGGACTAGAATACATCTGTTAATGTAAATGGTGGATGGCGGAAGAGCGCTAGATAGCTTTTCAAAAGCTGCAGCCTATTCAGGTATCAGTGGCTCAAACCTGGAATCCCAGTTACTTGAGAGGTTGTTATCAGCAGATTACAGTTTGAAGCCAACTGGGTCAAGAAAGTCCAGGAGACTTTCATCTCCCATTAACCATCTAAGCTGGAAAGGTAGGTGTGGCTCAAGTGGTTGAGTGCCAGCCTTGAGTAAAAAATGCTAGAGGACAATGCACCGGTTCTGAGTTTAAGCCCCAGATATTTTTAATCCCATCAGGGCACTGATATCTTCAATTGTGCCCCACAAAAGGCTACTAGAACAGCTTGTGTCAGTGGTGATCACCCCAGCTTGCTTACAGCTGGCTGTTGTCTGTGAAGCAGAGGTCTAGGCATTCTACTTGTATTATGTCATGTTACTATTAGGATCACCAAATGAAATCAGTACTGTTACTATTCCTTCTTTGCATATGAAGAATCAGGTACAGAGATGGCACAAAACTTGTCCAGGATTGCATAAAAAGTAAGAGGGTGAATCAGAATCCATTCCCAGGTATCAGATTTGAAAGGTTCCAGTAAAAAAATTTACTAAGGAAACTTATTAAGCTTACATTACTTCAGCTGACAAAATATTTTTGAAAGCGGATGGGTCCTTTTCACTTAAATAGTACCAAACATCTTACAATATCATTATGCATACAACTCAGGTGTTTATAGTATTTTCCCTGAAGCTCATGTAAACTTAATATCTGCCACAAGGGAACATTTGTGGAACAATGACAACTCTTACATATGGGTTGGGTTGTCACTGTGAGATAAAGAATTTCATATTCCTTAACAATGTATTTTGTTTTTAGAGTTCTTGATTTTTGCTGTTCTAACTGGAGTGAGGTGATATCTCAATGTTGTTTTGATTTGCATTTCTTTTATGGCTAGGGATGTTGAACATTTCTTCATGTGTCTATTGGCCATCCTTCTTTCTTCTTCAGAGAAGCTTCTCTTTAAGTCTTTCGCCCACTTACTTATTGGGCAGTTGTTTCTTTGAGGATTTGTTGTTGGGTGGTTTAATTTTTTGAGTTCCAAGTATATTTTAGATATGAGACCCTTGTCCGTTTTATGGCTAGTAAAGATCTTCTCCCAGTCCGTGGGCTTTCTATTGATCTTGCTAGCTATGTCATTTGCCCTGCAGAAGCTCTGCAACCTTATACAATCCCATTTGTCCAACCTTTCTTTGATTTGTTGTGTTTCCGGGTCTCTAGTCAGAAAATTTCGGCCTGAGCCAAGGAGACCCAGGGTTTCTCCTATTCCATCCTGTAATGTTTTCAGAGTGTCTGCTTTGAGTTCAAGGTCTTTGATCCATTTGGAGTTGATTCTGGTGCAGGGTGATATATAAGGATCTAGCTTTAGTTTAAGAATCACCCTGCTTGAAGATATTTATATAGTACTGCTAATGCAGTGCAAATTCAAGAGCCTTTCAAAAAGACAGTATTCCTTCAGGACATAGAACATATTTTTTTAGTGACCACAAATTATTCTATTTGTAGCCTAATTATTAAGTACTTGAGAATTTCTATTGCATATCTGTCAGGATAAATTAATGCAGCTGATCCTCTGATTTTTCCCATGGTGGAAGTTAGATTAGAGATGTAGTTCCTTTAAACTCATAATGTTATTACTTTCAGCAATTTTTTTGCTGGTTATATTTTTCTTTTTATTGTGAAGATACCGTCTAGAGGGGTTACAATTACATGGGCAAGATAATGAGTACATTTCTTATCAAGCATTGTTGCCTCCTCCTTTGTTTCCCCTTCCCATCCCTTCCCATCTCCCACCTCCCCACACACACCAGCCTACTCCCCACTCCCAAAGTTGTAAAGTTCATTTTTCGACATAATAACTTGTACATCTCATTGTAGCAATGGGTTGCTGGTTATATTTTCATGCCACAGTTTTGTTCTTGTTAATGTTAATGGATAAGACAATACCAGTGTTAACGTTATAAGTAACTGAATAGTAATCAATAGTAAAATACCTCAACTTGTTTGAGCAAAGATTTAGCTGTTTTGGTAGTTTCCATTAATATATGTGTGATTGTATATATTTAAAAGATGACTTACTGAGAAGTAAGTGGAAATTACAAATTGAGAAGTATATTTAAAGCGACTTTGTGTTAATTAGAAATAATTTATGAATGTTCATTAACAACAAATTAGGATAATACACAGGGGAAGATATATTTTGTTTTGCATGTTTTCCCTGCATGGAAAACGTTAATTAAAATGTTTTCAGGCTTGATTTACATGAAAGGTGAGAGGTTTCAGAGAATATTACCATTACACTGCTAATAGTGTGAAAAAAGCAAATGAGGTAAGGGGAGTTGTTAACAGTCCCATGCACTAATAAACAAACCCATTTTAGCCACAGGAGTAATTTTTCAAGTGCATTCATTTAATTGGCTCAATTAAAAACTTTACTTTGAAATGCAGTGACTAAAGCAACACAAAGCACACTTCCTGTCTAATATATTGAACTTTTGGACAAATTTATCCAGAAATTACACATAACCAAAGGAGAATATTATAGTATCACAACAGTAAATTTGTCTTGTCACATAGGTTTACTTTGAGAAAACTCCCCTTGAGTATCTTTGCAATTCATCCTATAGTATATTTGGTTTAAAGACTGAAACAAAGACATTGTTTTCACAATCCTTGGGTCTTCTCTCTGTTTAGGTCTTTGCTTTCCTTTGCATGCTGGTGGAGGTTTGAGACTTTGTTGTTACTTCCACCTCTTACTCTGTTACCCAAAGGTCTACACACTGTGGGCAATCCTGAGTTTATCAGGCTCCTGTATAAATAAAGGCACAGTGTTTCTCAAATACACAGGCATTGTTCTTCTGGTACTGTTGAAGTTGCTGCTTTTTAGTCTCCCTGCTGTCATTCATGGTTGCTGCTATGTCTGAGGGAACAGCTTAGCCTTAGCTAAGTTGATTCAGCCTCTGATAAAGGTGGACATAAATCATTCATTCCTATTGGCCAGTTATCTGCTTCTTAGTATCCTTTGGTAGTGTACTTAACTAAGAGACAGAGTTGACTATCTATACAAGACAGTTCAGATTGTTAAAAATGGTCTTCCTTCAAATTAAGCAAGTTACCTGGCCACAACGTTCAAATAGCTGCTGGTATTTAATGAAAATATAAAGACAATCACAGAATCTGTTGAATGACATATTATTTTTTTTTCCCTCGTAGAGCAGTAAACCTGACAAAATGTTTTCTCTCAGTTCGATGAAGTTTTATCTTGGTGTGAAAAAGAAAATGAAGCCACCTACAAGGTAATGTCTGGAGGAAAAGGAGAGGAGACAGAAGGGAGGGGAAGAAGCGTGTTGAAGGATTTAGGCCTTAGTAGCCTGAGCTTTACTTTTATCTCACGTCTCTCGTGGGAAGTTCCTTAGGTTGCTTCATAGGTGACAGTGTCCTTTGGCAGACTGAGAAACTTGTGGGCATAGATAAGGATGGGTGACGTTTTCACTGAGAGGAAGACCATATCCTTGGTGAATGCTGCCCCCTGTGTAGAGTAGGAAATCTGAGAAGGCCCTGACATCTTAAAAGGACATGGCCTCTTCTGTAAGTCAGTCCTTGATTACGTACATCACTGTCTGAGACCTAAAGGGAGTGTTCTAGGAAAGTCTGTGCCCAGTCAAATAAATGCTGCCCCATGACTCCTGACCTTCAGAATGTGTTTGGGGCCTGGCTCTGTAATTTGCCCTTTACATGCGCCAAATCTGTCACTAAGCCCACAGCATATGGATGGTGGGATGTGCACCTGCCATCTTGCATGTGGGGTACCTCACTTGGTTCACCCCAACATTTAGTTTGTGTCCCCAAGCTTTTCTTAATCAAAAATCACTTTGATTAGTTCACTAATGATCACACGGATACTTTTCCTAGTATATCACGAAGCATTTTAATGAATTGTTGGTGCTTCCCTGTAGGAGTCCATTACTGAAAGGGTCCTTGATTTTGCCTCACCGCTTCATTTCCAAGCTCAGTGTATGTGTGTTGCGATTAGCCATTTTGTGGATATTCGTCTACAAAATAACAAGTTCCTTAGGGAGCCTACTTACGGTGATCTAAAGCTAATAAATTAAGACAACCGTTTCTGGAAATGGCAGTAAGAGGCGCTACCTCACTGTTTCCGAGGCTCCAGGGCCTGGTGCCTGCACAGGTTCAGTTCTGGTGAGAGTACTCTCAGCTACATCGCACCGTGACACCTGGCGATGGTAGAAGCCTATGCAGGTGCTAGTGAGCCCATCTGTGGTCACTGTTTCATAACAGCCCTAGAAGAACTTCCAGAAGACTCTATAAGAACTACATTAATCTCTTCCAGGTGTCATTCCCCTCAACTAAGGACCTCTCACTATGCTGGTTCTTTATGTTGAAAGTGAATCATCCCAGAAGCCACATTTTGGGATATGAAATATTGGAGTCTTTATGATACAGTTAACAGGCTGCAGGCAGCCAGTTGTTACCAAAGGCCTGCAGCCTCCAAATACACATAATACAGCTAGGAAATGGGCTAAAGAGGAAAGAAAGAAACAATACCGACAATTAATTCAGCTCCCATGGAGAACTGAATTGGGATACCATGATGACTGGAGACAAGCCAGGGGACAGGACAAAGGACACAATCATGGAGACACACATGGCATAGCTTCCCAGCGGCTCGGCTGGTCCAGGCCTAAATAGGTTGGTACAGGGGGCAGATCCACAGGAAATTCCCAGTACCAGGCAGTGGACTGACAGATTCAGTAACCTATTAGCCAAGTGTCCAGCTCTGCCTCCAGCATTCCGGGCACACCCATCACCTGGGAGGTGGGTGTTGAGCAGGGGGTTTCTTTCCCCAGGCATGAAGACAAGATGCCAGACCGTACAATCCATCATGTGGCCAATATGGTTCCTGCCAGACCTGACCTCTTCACTTCACTTAAAGGCTCATCACCTTACCCCTCAGAGATTTTCCCCATTTTCCCATTCCAAAGCTCTTGCCATCTGTCTCCTTTTTGCCTGCATAAATTTGTAGTCATATCATACGACATTTAGCATTTATTTTTAGATAACTATACCTGTTGAATGGTCATGTTTTTGGAAATCGGTTCCTTTATACAATTTCGCCATTAAGCCCCATTTCCATGCCATTTAAAATTGTTTGCAGCCTTGTAAATATTATCTTTTTAAAATAGATTCTTTGTATTTCTTCCTATGTGATACAGTTGGGGATTGACTGCATATTCTGAAAAGCATCACTGGTAAGTTTGTTTTATATGCAAAAGAATAACTTCATTGTTTAATGCATAGAACTGCTGACAGAAAATGCTCTAACTACAAGAATTTAAAAATAGTTTCCAAATACTCAGTCTGAGAAGAGGAAAAGAGATTTGTATCGGGTTCAGGTCTGTTTCCATCTTATGTATCTTTTTATACATTGTCTTCTAAGAGAAACTGCATCTGATTTCTCCCATGGATACTATATGACTGTGGAATTCAGGTTTTAAAAGATAAGTAGGCAGTGTTACATAAAGGATAAGAACTAGCTTAGTAACATTTAAAACCGAAAAACACAAATCCTTGGCTCAAGCTTGTTCATGTGTCCTTCTTTCCACTGAAGTCACCCACTTCCTGCCAGTCTTGCTTTGTATCCTCCCTGGGCTGCTGTGTCTTCGCAATCACTAAGCCACATTGGGTCTCTTCAGTATCCTTTCATCTACCCATAGCCTGTGTCCTCAGGGCCATGTCTTTTTTTTTTTTTTTTTTGGTTATGGGGCTTGAACTCTGGGCCTGGGCGCTGTCCCTCAGCTCTTCAGCTCAAGGCTAGCACTCTACCACTTGAGCTACAGCGCCACTTAGGGTTTTCTGGTCATTTATTGGAGATAAGAGTTTCACAGACTTTCCTGCCCAGGCTGGCTTTGAACCGCAATCCTCAGATCTCAGCCTCCTGAATAGCTAGGATGACAGGTGTGAGCCACTGGTGCCTGGCTCCATGCCTTCTTTATTCTACCTAAAGGTTCCAGAAGTCTTTCATTCTCTGCATGCTTTCTGTTGTCTGGTACATTCTTTGTTGAGCTGCCAGATACTCTTTTCTCCTGCTTTAAAACTTTCCTGTGCATCCTCTCCCAAGAGAATCCCCAGGATGGTGAATGTGTGACTCCCTCAGCCCTCATCTTCCTCAGGTTCTATAATTTGGAATAAGCACATTGGGACTTCTTATCTCCATGTGCATTACACATGGGCCTGCAGTGACCCCACATCTACAATAGATGCTTCTCCTAATGACCCATCAGTGCAGTTGCCCCTGAATTCTCATTGGTTAGTTTTTGCCTTTAGTCATTATTTATTGTTTCTTTGTATGTACAGAAGTTAACATACATTTGTGAAGACAAAAGATAATTTTATATTTTGGGTATGGTAAGAAGAGATCATGACTGTGAGTGATCCTGATAGGACTGATGATGGAAGCAAATCATTTTTAGAAATTTTATCTTTACCTTTTGTTTCAAATAACTTACCTTTAGTAATTCAGAAGTATACTATTATAGTTCAGAAGTATAAGATTATCACTGCATTGAAAGGTCGATGCTGCCATTCTAATGCAGTTACATTTGTTTCTTAAAGAAAATAATCTTGAGGCTGGGAAGGTGGCTCAGTGGTAGAGTGCTTGCCTTGCATGTACGAGGCCCTGGGTTCAATTCCTCAGCATCACATAAGCAGAAAAATCGAAGTGGGGCTGTAGCTCAAGTGGTAGAGCACTAGCCTTGAGCTGAATTGCTGAGGGATAGCACCCAGGCCCAGAGTTCAGGCTCCACAACTGACCAAAAAAAGAAAGAAAAAAAAAAAGAAAATAATTGTAATTTGACCTCCTCTTATGTCACACCTGCTGTTTCTAGCTTTTGCTTTTTTTTTTTTTTTTTTTTTTTGCTGTTACAGTGTGTTTGCATGCTCAACTCCTCCAAAGACTATGAAAAGCTCATGGGCACGGGCTCCTTTTATTTAGGTTTTGAACAAAGAGTTACTGAAACAATGTTATTGGATATGTAGTGTTTTTTTCTGTGGGTTTTGTGTGTGTGTGTGAATCTGTGGGGATTGGTGTTTTTAATGATAATGATGGAGACTGTATATAAGCTTTCTTTAAAATTTGCAGTTATGGCCAGGTGCTGGTGATTCACACCTGTAATTCTAACTACTCAGGAGGCTGAGATCTGAGAATTGTGGTTTGAAGCCAGCCTGGGAAGGAAAGTCCGTGATACTCAGTGTTCAAATAACGACCAAAAGCCAGAATTAAAGCTGGGAGGCAATTGATAGAATGCTAAATCTAGTGAGTGAAAAATCCAAGGGAAAGGACCCTGACCCTGAGTTTAAGCCCCAGGACCACAATATTCACACACACACACACACACACACACACACACACACACACACACACACACACACACACACACACACACACACACACACACACACACACACACACACACACACACACACACACACACACACACACACACACACACACACACACACACACACACACACACACACACCCCGCAAGAAAATTTCCTTATAAAAATGTTCAATTGCAATAGAATCAGGTTTTCTGGATAAAAAGATGTTTTCCTGTCATGTGCCTGAAAAAGTAAAATGGCATTGACCTTTCTGCTTTTCCAAAGTAGTTCTAATCATGCAGCAGATGCTGAAGCCTTTTGCTGTAGTTTGTTTAAATTAGCATATTTGTACTGTTATTTGATGTTTGCCAGTAGAAATATGCAATCACTTTTACTAAAATATTCTACTTTTGATTGCATGGAACCTTAAAGCAGGAGAAATTTTGATGGATTTCTGACACAGTGGAGAAAAGCCAGTTGTCTTTGTGGACTATTCATTGTATAAATCTTCTTTTGTAGGCATCTGTGTTGCGATAGTTCACAAACTCAGATGGAATGGATGGCCAGTATCTTTCTTGCTCAGGTATGATATCTATTTCAACTGTCCAATAAAATATAATAACTTCCTTCATAATCAATGGTAATGTGGTTATGACTGTCAAGGAATTTTTAATATGAGTTTTAGGTAGCACACAGTTGACATACACTTTCATTCTCATGTTCATTTTGGTTTCAATTGGGAAATTCCAAATTTATCCATTTTATTTTGCTTTAAAAGAGTTTATTCTCCTCTTTTGAGGCTTTGATTATTTTTTCTGACCCATCATTCTTTGGTATAGAGAGAAGCTGCTTAATGATGAGAGTAGAAAGAGGTATTTAGTTCACCTGTCATACTTTAAACTATCATATCCACATAGATTTTCACTTTGAAAATGTGTCCCATTTCCTTTATTCTCTCACTTTTCCAATCCTTGCCTTTCTAGCAAGAAGGATATAATCATACATTTCTTTAAACTTATGAGTGAAGAATCCTTTGTAAACGCCAACTCAGGGATTCCTTGTAGCAATGTTGTTTTCCTAGTACTGTTCACTTAATGGTTGAAACTCAAGGTTCTCTGATGTCAGAACTTAAACTCAGCTTCCCACTTAGTCTCCTCCATGAAGGAGAATTCACTGTTTCTGAGAAGGTTAAATAGTCCCATTAATTGAATTGGTTTCTTTCCCAATCTTGTCTGGCTGAATTCCCAACAATGTTTCTCACAGAGCATTGAAATTTATTGGTAACGATTAATTTGCCACTCTTCATTACTGAGTAACTACTTTCTCACTTCTTTTACAAGGAAGAAGTTAACTCACCCCCAAATGTAGTTCTTATTTGTTCTGAAAACAGTTTTCTCTGTTCATCTAATTTGTTAGCCTTTCTAGTGATTAATAAACATGCCTTATCTCTTCCTGCCCCTACTATTACTACTTGGGACTATTATTGCTGGAAAAGACTACCTTCTCACTGTTTACAGACTTTTTATTATGAAAACTCACACTTTTATAATTTTGTTTAAATTATGCAAACTAAAACCCTCTGGATTTGATTTATTTTACTAAAGTACTATTAGTGTTTCAGTCTAAAGGTGTTACAGTGTCTATGGCACATTTAAACTCATTGTTTTTTTTTAATAATTGAAGTTTATAAGCTGTAGCTGAAACTCAAGGGATAGACAGGAAGCAGAAAATAGTCTCATAAGTAAGTTATTTCTTCCTACCTCACATATCATTTGTCATGGTCCCTGTTCATTTCATTTCTGGAGATCATTAGTATTTCATTTAACACAGAGGCTTCCTTGGGTTTTATACATATACCACAAACAATAAGGAAACAGCAAAGTAGCAACTATTAATATATGTTAATGAGCACACACATTGATTAATAGTAAATGCCCCTTACAGTAACTTCTTCCTGGTGCTCAGAAAATTTTTGTAGTAGCTAACATCTGCCTCTTCATCTTTGTTTCAAGGTTCCTCTAATTTTCAACTTAGATATCTTATTTTTACAAAACTTTCCCTTCAGACTTTTGCTTTCCCTTCAGACCTGTACTTTTCCATTGTAGTAGCTATTAAAAAACATATGTGTTTGTTAAGTATGGGTAATTTAATATCTTTTTTCTAAATATAAAATTAGTGAGAATTTCTGAAAAGAAAGCTTTTTTATTCTAGCATAGCTCCTCTGTGTGAATCTTCTCTACCTATGGGGCCTACTGCCTTCTACAGTATTTGTACTTATCATTTCTAAGCCAGGCAAAAGGAAAGAAAACAAATACTATATTTCAAATGGACATCCATGTGATAATTTGGAACAGTCAATGTAATTAACTGGGAAAGAAGAAAGTATGAGTGAGGTAAGGAAGAAAACAGAAATGTTCTCAAGGACTGGCTTTCTGAGTAGGTCATATGTGAGTTGAGGGAATGAAGCTTACAGGTATTTAGGAGGTATATTTCTAGGAATAGGGCCAGCAGACTCAAATCCTAGAGTATCATTATGATCTTGGTTTTATGTCATAAAGATTGGTTGGTCTAAGGAAGGCTTGAGACAGATTCTGTAATTCATAAGTGTGGTTATTTTGTTGGGTCTACCCTATAGGGGTTGGATGAGAGAAGGAAGAGCAGCTGTTGAAAAGATATTAGCTCATACAAGAGTAGTGATGGTGGATATGATAGGAGATTCAGATTAATGAGTGTTACTAGAGACAATAAAGCTTTTGGATAGTCTGGCTGTAGAAGTTTGAGAAAAGGAGCAGACACCAAGGAAGAACCTTAGTTTTTAGGCCCCGGGTAGTTGGCAAATCTACATGGGACTGCCAGACATGTAAAAGGAAATTGAAAGTTCTGTTTAGGCTACATGAATTTGAGGCATCTATTGGATACACAAAGGAATAGGCTGGGTGTCATGTTGAACCACGATTTCAGTTTGAAATGTTTATTTGGGAAAAGAAAGCATTTGAATTGTGTCAAAAGCTGTAGGACTGCATCAAAATAAGACACAGTGGAGAGGGAAGATGAGGAGAGAAAGCTTGAATAAGCTCTGGGACACTGCAAATATTAAAGATCATGCAGAATAGAAAAATAAATAAAAGAAAGAAGAAAGGAATCAGAAGGAAAACTAGGTCAGTAAAATTCTGTCAAGTAATTTGCTATGGAGATAGCAAAGTTGTGACTATAAGCAAGCAGTCAGAGTAGTTATGGGATGTGGGTCAGAGTGTTTATAATTAAGAAGGAAGAGTATATATTTTTAATATGCGATGGAGAAAATCTGATAGTTGGGAGTGATTTTGTGATAGAGCGGGAGAGAGATTACTGAAATCGAGGTCCTCGGCAGACTTGAAGTAGCAATGTGATCAAGTACACAATTGTACATCATTGCTGAAAATTATTATATAACTAAGAGTGAGCACATTTCTCCTCAAATTATTGACTACATGTTCTAGCATACTGAGCAATTATAGACATGACTACAGAAAGGTTACTTTGCAATCAGAGCAGACTCTGATTGCAAAGAGGAGTAATGTGGCTATAGTTAAAAGCAAATTGGTAGGTTTCATCACAGGGAAATTATACTCTCAGTGATTAGTAATAATTTTTTGAATTAAATCAGTTAGATGACCACTTATGAGACAAGAAAGGTTATTAGAAGTGTCATAGCACAGGAAAAAATGAGAAATACTCCAGACTGTGAGGAAGACAGTAGTCCTACGGTAAAATTTAAAGTTAGTGCTGACAATTCAATTAAATTTTACTACTAAATTTAAGATGAAAGGAATTTACATCTGTGTTTTCACTATTAATTCGCAGATAGCCATGGAGTAAATACAATTTTATTTACTTAAGTTCAAGACTTTGCAAAGGAAAGTATGATAGAGGGACAAGAAACACAAGACTTAAAGATAATTTACAAAGAAATGAGTTTAATAATCCACTATGAAATCTCAGCCAGCCTGTGAAGGAAATGGGGGAAAAGCATGCAATAGTAGTGATGAATGGATTAGAAATCTCAAGTAATCAGAGTATTTACATTCCCACCCTCAATTATAAATGCCTGGGTTTTTTTGTTTGTTTTTGTAAGTTTGTAAAGAAAATTTTAAAGTAAATAACCTTGTGCAAAGAAAATATATTGTAGGAAGTGGTGCTGTGGCTCAAGTGGTAGAAAGCTCGACTTGAGCTGAAGAGCTGAGGGACAGTGCCCAGGCCCAGAGTTCAAGCCCCATGACTGACAAAAAAAAGAAAAAGAAAATACATTGTGAAATAACCTCCCGCCTCCAAATGAATGAAACTAAATCAGAGTCAGTGGCATAAGGAAGTCAAGGGAGGAAGTAAGAGGAGGCAGAAATCGAGGTGCTGAGTATGATCATGGGTGATAACAATGAAAGTATGATCTCAGCAATTTGGTCTCTGTTACATAACTTTTGAAATCATTAACTAGTTACAGCAGAACATATCACTTAGACCTAGAGGTTTCGGGTTTCTCCAAAATATCATGTAAGAATATACATCAACAACTTGAAGGTATAAATATAATTCACACGGTTACATATTTTGTTCTCAGCCAGTTTTCTCTCAGCTGTCCACATTATGAGCATCCTAATTACATCAGAGTTCTTATTTTTTTAAATGTTTATCACCAAGATATAAAAATGACATGGAACTAATAACTTTCTCCATGATCAAAATAGTACTATTAAAAATTTAATCAAGGTAGATGCTTTACTAGAATTTAAGTAAATGCATTATATATTGTAAGATCCTTGAGGATTAAGTGACATAATATATGCATATCAATAAGTACAATTCCTGGCTATATTCAGTAACCACAACCTGAAGATAAAAATATAGCTTAAAACTAGAGGAAAATAACTAGTAGGCTTTTAACTGTATAGTTTACTAAATGGATTTTATTTTACCAAAGCATTTATAAACATCTCATTTTGTATTTGGTATTCTGCACTTCTCATAGATTGTTGTCTAAAATCAATTTGCTTTTCCCAACTTTTAAAAAGTTAATCTACCCCAGGGAGTAGACGAGTTCTTTTAAGATTTATCTTTTATGTGTATATCTCAAGAATTAATCACCAAAGAGCTTATATTTTCACCTGTGGATGTTTATACCCCATTGAACAATTAACTTTTCTTCAGTCATCTCTATAATTGTTTATTGGACAGATATATAGTCAATAATTTGAGAACAAATGTGCCTCACTCCCTGTTGTACAATGATTTTCAGTACAAATGTTTGTGTAAAAAACTAACATTTTGTTGGAATTCAATTAGACGAAATAGTAATGTTTTTCAAAAGGTCATCAAAAAAAACTATTTTTTCAAGTAGCCATGCCTTAAGTTGATTTGGGGTATATAAGATCTAATTATTTTTACATTAAAATCGTATATGGGTTTGGGGAGGAAAATAAATGTAGAGTTACTTTGATTACACAACCTAGAAACACAGACAAGTATCTCATTTTTCTCTTACAAAGAGATTTGTCAGTTTCCCTCCAAAATTTTCCTCTATTTGGTTTAATAAGTAGTACAGAACGCATGTGTTTGAAACCTAGAAATTGAACTGAGACTTCAAACCTCAGCCCACTTAAGAGTTTCACATCCTTGAGCCATGCTACTGCCAAAGTCAATATCATAACCACAAATGGCTTTTTCATGGAAAGCAGATCTTTTGATGTCGGTACATAAAGAAGGAACCAAGCAACTCACATGGTGTGTAGCACATAACAAAATCACATACCAACCAACCGAAATTGTGTTTCCACAGCATGAAAATGATATATGCCCACCAGCTGGAAAAGAACGAAAACGTTCAATAACCAAAAATCCCAAAATTGGGGGTTTACCTCTCATTCCCATCCAACCTGTGAAAAATGCAACCCAAGCCCGGAGGAGTATCGAGGTAGGTTAGAAGTTTGTCTCATATTAACTTACATTACCTATTGTCCTATTTCTTTTTTTGATTGTCCTCTTTCTTCATATGGCCTAATGAATTAATCAGTTCATTGGCTCCAGAACCACAGTAACAATTACTATGAAAAGCATAATGATAACTTTATATATCACAAAAAATACTGTGAATCAGCATGTCACTGATTTTTAAATCCTTGACTACTAATTACAGTGTTATTATATGCACAGTACTATTATTTTTTTCCTCTAATGTAGCCAAGCAAACTTAAATATGTGTAGAGAAATTCAGAGGTAAAATCTCAATCTCAAATTGGTTGGTCCTACAAATTAACCTGTAAACACTCAGAATAAATCCATGGCAGAGTATCTGGAGTCATGGCAACTAGATTTTCTAGTTCTTAACAACCCTTTTCAAAATGACCGCTGAACAGCAACAAAAAAGATTTGGTATTTTGCAAAAAGGCTGCTATTCATTTTATTTGTTGCTTGGTAAGGCAGAAGAACATTAATAGTGCCCATACTGACAAGCAGTGTGATCTCTTAGGAAAAGATATTGCCTATCCTTTTTTACTTTAAAACTTGTTAGCTACTCAGGAAATGCATTCATGAGAACATAAAAGTTATCAGGAGATATGTGAGGATTAGGAAGAATTGTTTTTGAAATGGTGTCTTGGTATATTTGTTGGCCTGGCTTTCTTGAGGTACTTTTGGAAGTTATGTGAGAGTACTTCATCTAAAAGGGGAGGGAGGGCTGCTTGCAGAAAGTGACTTCTAAAATTAATTAGAAACATTAGTAGTGAGCCAGCTGAATTAATCAGGGAAGCTATATTGATTGTAAAGAAGATCACACATGAATAGACAATAAAAGATGTTTAGAAGGTACAGCCTAGTTACTACTTGTGGCGCCTTCAACTTCCTATATAATCATGAGTGTCTTTAGCTGCTTTGTCTGTAAACATACGGAGCTATCTTAAAGGATCATCGTGATGATTAAATATTCATGAAAAAGTTCTAATGTCTAGCATATATCTAGCATTTATTGAGAAAAAAGAATATAGAAGTTGGAAGACTTACTGGGATAATTCACTAGTTTTCAGAATTGCCATGTATAGACAGACATGGTGGTATGTGCCTGTAGTAGTTCCAGCATTAGGAGAGTGAGTCAAAATGAAGACTTGAGTCCCAGGGAGCCTAGTAGTTAGAGGCCAGGCAAGGTACCCAGCAAGAAAGAAGACCCTGTTTCAAAAAGAAAGGAAGGGAGAAAAAAATGACTTTTAAAAACAAAATCTATAAACCAACAAAGAACATTGATGCAGGTGAAACAAGGCAATAATCTAGACTCCTTTTCAATGTACTTATTTTGTTGTTATCATAAAGGTGATGTAGAGGGGTTACAGTGACTGGTCAGCTAGTGAGTCCATTTCATTTTGGATAATGTCATCCCTTCTCTCACTCTCTCCGTTTTTTTTCCCCCTCCTGTCTAATCTGGATTCTTGCCTAGCTTCTCTTTCCCTTTATCCTCCTGGAGAATTTCTTGTTCTAGAAGAAGCATATCACATTGGGTTCAGGTCAATCTGGGGTCCTATTCTAAACTCTGACTAACATGGCTTCAGGCACCTTTGAGTTAAACATAAGCAATAGAAGCTACAAAATATTATATAAAGCTTTCAGATCATTATAAGGATTACCTTTAGAGATATGATTTTATAGTTTATAACATGGAAATTAAAAACGAATGCAGTGGAAACACATCATTTAAAAGGGTTTCTGCTTGTAATTTGCACATAACTGCTGAGTCACATTTCTGGATTCTGTGGGAAGTATCTGAGGACCAAGACTAAAGCCATAGGAGGGATTTGCTCTGAGGATCCCTTCCCCTCCTGGTGTTCTGGCTTTGACAGTAGTAGCTATTCTCTGCAGCTGGAAGAGCTAGGCACCATTGCTCTCTATTCAGTGTGTGACACTGGCTGACACTGCCTGGAGCAAGCCACTGCAAGCTCACCTCACTTTCACACGTTACCTGTCTCTCTTTTTAAATTATTAATATCTTATCTTTGAAGGACAGTACAGCAGCTAAACTATGCTCTTCTTTCCTCAAGACCCTCCCGCTTGGTTTTGTTTCCACACAACCTGCAATACTCACCATGTTACTCATGCAGAACATTCATGGCTTCCTGCTTTCTTCCACTGTAGCATCCTCTGACTTTTAACAGAGCCCTTCCACTACACATCCCCACCTGTACGAGGAAATCTGTCATTTAGGCTATATTATGCTTTATAGTATACTTAAAACTTCAACATCATGTCATTAATACTTAGTCCTTAACTTCAGCACCTAAGTTTCAAAACCTGTCTGATGATGGAGGAAAGAAAACTGCCACTGTGATAAAGAAAAAAAAACATATCTTCCATGTGATTAAGTTATGTTCCTCTATAAGAATCTGTACATTAGAGAGTCCCTGAATGCTGGTTTGAAAAGTCCACCTTTTTTACCCCCTTGTTGTAGGAATCCTGTTGCAATGTGCTTGTACACTTATTGGACCTTAACATTCACTGCATGAAAATTCACTCTAATCTACTGATAATGTAGCGTTTCTTTATACACATATACCCATAAATTACAGTGTTTTGAAAGATATACCCATGCAATCCTTACAGCCATTATGTGGGTGAAAAGAGGTCACTAGTCAAATAAGTTGGGTGGAGAATAAAGTAGCAAGCAGAAGAATGGTTTTCTCTGTCTTTCTACCTCTCATTTTCTTTAATATGATATGTATCATGAATTCAAAAAGGGAGCTATAGTACATGTTTCTGACTGTCATGGTTGAGACAACCACCTAATAAAACCTGTAGTTTAAACCCCAGGAACTAAGGGTACATGCTTTGATATCCAAAAGTTAGTTGGAAGGGGAAAGTTTGAAATGAGAGTCAGTTAGAATAACTAGCCTTGAAGTAGTAGGTTAAACGCATGTTTAAATAAATTTCAGTAGTCTATTTGATTTTGTTAGCTCTAACACAAGTGCGTATAAATTCAGACATGTCACTTATATCAAAGTAAAATACAAACCTACATCATGGAAAGAAGGACTTGTATAAACAGAAGGATTGACAGTTATGTGGCATATATTTTCTAAGTATCAGCTGTGCCAAATCTTGCTTTCATGTGAGACTCTTTAATGTTACATTCAGAGTGCAAGAGCAGAACTTGAAAGGCTGCGGCTCAGTGAAATGCACGATCGAGAGTCCATGGACCCCAGCCTGAAGGACAGAGCTTCCATGGTGGCCCAATGCCTAGAACACAAGGATGATAAACTTCGAAATCGCACCAGAAAACATCGGAGTTTCAACTGCCTGGAGGACACAGAGGCTGAACTCCCACATGGAGTACAAAAAAGCAACAGAGGAATGAAGACTTTGAGGAAGACTGAAGACAGGAATAACAAAGCTACTTTGGACCCTGATCATAAGTTACCGTCAAAGGTAATTGAAGAACTTAGTGTGGTTCTACAACGGTCAAGAACCCTCCCAAAAGAGTTGCAGGGTGAACAGATTTTGCAGAAAGAAATAAAATGAATGACATCACAAATTATTTTTTTAATATTGTATTACAGCATTTGTGTGTAAGCCAGATACCAACCTGTAAGAAAAATTACAGAGTCTATCTGTAGGCAGATTTTATCTGTGCTTTAAGAAATTTGCCTATCTGTACTTACGCATTTAAAGAACATGTTAAAATATGTATATAAGTGATGAATTATAAGATTAACTTTATTTTGGTCTGAAGAATGCTTGTAAAGTTCAAGTGTATTAACTTTGTGTAAGAAGGCTTTGGGTCACTTTAAGTGGCTAACCCTTTTAAAGTACTTATCTATTACGTGGAATAAGTTATGAATAGTAATCTCGAACTGTACTGTACTGTATAAAATGCTGTGTTTAAAGGAAGCCTACGAAACTCTCTGTAACATATTTTTCACTTTGAGAAGCCGTGTATATGAATTTACCACGTGTTAGGTTTACATTGGGCCCACCTTAGGGAAATGAGTTGAAAAGAGAGGAGTTTTTTTTTCCTAGTGACTGTCTAGCAAACAATTGGGGTTTAAACAACAAGAACAAAAAATAAAGGGGCAAGAGGTTAACAAATGCCCTGCCTTCGCAGGAGGTGAATTAAGATTCCTTCTAGTTCACTAAGGGCTGGAGCTTATTAAGGAAAAACTGTTTGCTAACAAAACAGCCTTGTGACAGTGTTTGCCCTGGGGAATGCTTAGCCAATCCATAGGAATAATGGCACTGCTGTATTTCCTGTGGTTTCTGGGTGGCATTCCCGGTGCACTGTCCATAGGAGGCTGCCAAGAGGAGCAGAGGCTACGTGGAGAGGTTGTGGATCTGGTCTGGCGCACATGTCACTTGCACTGTTGCTATACGCAATTTTTTTAAGTCCTTAACCATATTTTTGGTACGAACAAAATTCATCCTCATAGGGTGCTTTTCTGTTATTTTTCTGCTTGATTGTTCTGTCTGATACTTTTTTTATGTGTGGTTGTAATGTCTTTTTCTACATTGTCAGAATTATCTGGAAGAGCACAGCCTAGGGCCATTTTCCATCTAGTCTTTTTTTTAAATAAATTGGTATTTGGGGTTGTGTTTTTAGCCCTCTACCTATGAAAATAACAAAACCTTTTATTTTTATTGTCATGCAAAAATCAACTACACAATTGGAGATTTTCCTATGGCTGACCTTAATCATATAGCGTATGTGGTTGGTGGTGCTTTTCACCTTTCACAATTGTATTTGGTTTAGTGGGTTTGCATATTAAAAATTATATAACTTGGCCCGATATGGTGATGTCTTCCTGTAATCCCAGCTACTTGAAAGGTTTTTAGGCTGAGAAAGAAATTTAGCAAGAATCTCATCACCCAAAGCAAGTTGTCTGTGATTATACTTCTATTGTGAGGAAGTAGTGGTAATAGTATTACAGAGTCTGAAGCCAGCTCAGGCCAAAAATGTGGGACCCATTTGGACAAAACAAAACCTTCAAAGTGAAAAGGATTGGGGAGGTGGTGTAGCTCAGGTGGTAGAGCACTTGCCTAGTATTTTCAAGACTCAGAGTTCAAACCCCAGTACCTCCAATATGTGCATATATATGTTACCAAGCACCATGCTGAGAATTCTTTGTGTCTGCTTTTAGATGTTTCTCTTTCCAGACTTTGTCTCAGGCCCATACTTCAGTCACTCCAATCATAGAACAGTAATGTGCTGTTGAAAGCCCTGACTGTCTTTGTTGTAAAATACTGGACCACATATCTTAGTTGGGGATAGAATAGTTTCTCAGGAGTAGGTGGTATTTATTCTTTAAATCCAAACAAATTGGAATTGAATCTGTAAGTGAAACTGCAGGACAGTTTATGAACAGGTGGCAGCAGGAAAGTATAACTTTCCTTTAAAGCAAGAAACCATGTTATTTAGGAAGAAAAACTAATTTTAAATAAACTATTCTTTCTAATAAATAATGATAATTTATATTTTTATGAAACGGGGACTATGGAATTGTATGCGTTTGATGATTTTGGACAATAAGAGTGTGTGGAGTTTTACCTGGTTTATCTGAAGTTTTCTTGAAACTTGAGCTTAAAATCCACTAGCTTCTGTTTTTCTTCCTTTCTTGAACAATTATCTCCATATTTTCAAATGTAAGATAAGGGCTAATGATGGCATCTCACACATTTTGAGTAAAAATTAAAATTGTTTTACGAGTCCATTTCAGTGTGACTGTTGTCTTTCTTCATTACATCCGGATGTTGAAGCTTATTACTGTGAAATATGTCAAATAAAACTTCCAGTTTTATTTGAATCTTACATATACTTAAAAACCTAAAACACTGGTAAGAATATTTTTATGTTGAAATAGGATTGTATGCAGAAATAAATGAACAGAATCACAACTAGATCTCTGTGTCTCTAAATTTAATTATTAGCCGTGATTAAAATTTGATTTCTAAACAAACAATTCCGGATACTTCATTAAAATATCACTGAGAACTTAAACCCAAGCAAAAGTAATTGAAGCACAAAAGTGAACTGAACGTAACTGTTAGCTACTGATTTGCATTGTTCATGTGACAAATTTTTAATTCTGAAATGAACTTGTTCCAGGAGGAAATGCATCAAATTTATTTGGACTACTTTTAACATTCATGTATGTATATTTTTCAGTTCTGATCATCTCCAGTGGAAAAGGATGTTTTAAACTGGATCATCTTATCAAATTTGCCCTAGAACTTACATATTTTCACTCAGACACCCCTTACCCTATCAAAGCCAGACTTAGGATGAAGGTGTGACTATTTTTGTCACATGTACAATTCTCACAGTTAACTTTGGAAACACAGGGAAGAAATGAATCTTAGCGATGTACCAAAGTTCATCCTTTGTTTTCAAAGTCATGAGGTTATTATTTTAGTAATTTTTTGTTTTGCTTAACTTGTTATAAGCTGTATTGCACGTTGTTATGTCCTCTACCATGAGTAATATATACTGCATGTAGTTTTCCATAGCCCAGTTTCTGTAGATGTAAGTTTATGGATTATTTTATATAAATTTTGAGTCCAAATATTCTTTAAGTGGGAGTAATAACTACTTTGTAGACAATTAAATTAGACGCACAGCTAAGTGTGTATATCAGCTAGATACATCAATAGGAATATAGTGCGTGCTCAGGAAATGTTAGCTTTTCATGTATTACTTTTTCTAGTTTTTATGCAACCTAAGAAAATACTTATTACTATTTTCAAACTGCTTGTGGAAGTTTTCTCACTCTTTAAAAATATGAATGCACTAGTGAAACAGATGGTCAAAGGTTATCTGTTCAATCATCATCTCTAACAATTCATACATTGAAAGTAGCCTTTGGTATCTCAAAATGCAGCTGTATTTGGCAATAGGTCCTTTAAAGAGATGATGGAGTTAAAATGAGCTTATTACAGTTGATCCTGATTATTCTGACTGGTGTCACAAGAAAAAGACATTGGGACATGAAGAGACACCCAACAATTCATGCCCAACAGAAGAAAGTTCATGGAAGGAACACAGAGAAAAGGTGGCCGTCCACCAGCCAACAAGGTATGACTCCAGTGGTAAATCGTCTGTTGACTAGAATTGAAGACCTGGAATTCAAGCACTGGCACCAGTATAAACAAAGAAGGCGGCTCTTCATCACAACTCTCCAAGATATGAGGAATAAAATGGTGTCTTGATGCTATCCTCCAACTTGAGGAACATGTTGCTCCATCAGACCCCCACACTGGAGTTCAAAGCTTGTGGTAGATACAGGTTTATCCTCCGATTAGATCTTCCAGCCTGTTGCAGAGGCCAGCTCACCTTTACCTTGTGTTCCAGACTTCAGCTTCTTCCTCACCTAGGGAGCAGGTTAAGAGCTGCCAACTGTTTCCTAATTTATTCTTTTGCCTTTGTTTGTCACACACTGTTTTTCCTGTCTTGAATGTTTCCTGGTTCTCAGTGCTCTTTCTTTCTTTTGCTCTTCTGAGTATAAGCTTTCTTCTGTAACCCCAACTCTACTGATTCTACCCTCTCTTGACTTCTCACATTTCTAGCCTCCTTGAAATGAATTGTTTTTGCTTTAAAATTTTCATTTTTCACATAGGTATTTGCATAGTGTGCAAATGTTTTTATAATGATAATTTGAATTGTTTTCCTTTTATAAGAGATTTCATTGTTAATGTCTTTGGAAAACCAGATGCCCAGGAGCTCAATAAATAAATTGTACCTTTTTACTTGGAGAATCTTTTTAGAAAATTGCAGTATTATAATTTAAAAAAAAACATTTGTGAAGATAATAAGGTAGATTTCTGGGGAAGATGTTAATCTTCTATGTCATGATCAATCTTAATGCTACAAAAGCGTGCATATCAAAATACAACGAATATTGTTCAGATGTGTGCATTTAATTTTATATACAATATTTAGATGGTGAAATGTTTACCATGTACCTTAATTAAAGATCAGGTCAATTCATTGATAGAGGCAGATATAGAGAGATAGATTATGTGAATAAGCAAATATAGCAAATTAAATAATGGTAGAATTGAATTGTGGATCCTGGGTTATTCACCAAAAGGTTCTTTCAAATTTGCTGCATGTACAGATTTTTGCATAATAAAATGTTGGGGAGAGAATACATCATTAAGGCCTCAGTCTCCCATTTCATGTGTCAATAAAATAGTTCAAGATCGAATTAAATTGTATTTAATTTCAAGGCTGTCTTTTTGTATGTACTCTTCATAATAGTAAAAACTGTTTCCTACATATGTTTCTTTCAGAATTCAATTAACCTCGATTTGTCCACTGCTGCAGATTATATTAACAATAACAACTTGGCATAACTTAATGTTTACTCTTTATGAATACATTCAACCACCTGCTGCATTCATTTCTATTTCCAATGTGTTCTAATTAAGACATATTGAATGTGTGTGTGTGTGTGTGTGTGTGTGTGTGTGTGTGTGTGTGTGTGTGTGTGTTTCCTGGCAATTTTGGTCTTACATTTTTATTCAGATTACATCATTACTCATAGGTTATATTTTTCCTAATAAATACCAGGATTTTATTGTTATTTCTATTTAAGAGCTTAAATGACTCTTCTTCGATCTTCCTCATTTGCCTCCAAATATGTGAACAGTCTGTAACTTTGAAATGCCTGATTTTTTAGGTGTGAACTACTTTAATATCTAGTACCCAGTCTTGGTTCAGAAAATGGTTAAATGCATTAAAAGTTGTCAGAGGGATGTATAAGAAATACCATTTGTATTTTTTCAAGACTTTATTAATATTTGACAAATAGATTGAGAAAGATATACTCATTTGGTTTTTATTTGACAGTTTCATATCACAAGTAGTATTTCAACTTCCTGAAGTAAAAGAGTGATAGCTTTGCAATGTGGAGAATACAAGTTGCTGTTTTTATATTGAATTACAGACAACACATTCTTTCAGCAAAGAACCCTGGTTAAAGCCTGTAGATAAAAAGAAAAAGATACAATTTTCCCCTTCCCAGATAGTCCCCATTTTACACTCATGCCATGTTAGTGATTGTTTTGCTGGAATACCAAGACCCAAGCTGCAGGAAGGAATAAGATATGTCTTTGTCAGATAATAGGGCTACTCATCCATGATTCTAATTACATTGCAAGATCAGGAAGGGAAAGTGCAAGTTCCTGGCAGTCCTTGAAACATTTCCCAGGGAAGATGCACTGAAGATAAGGCATTTATTGATTGAATACATAATGGATAGCCAACAAACTCTTGATCAGAGGGATCCAATAACTTAAGATCCATAATTGAGGCTGCAAGCCGGTGTTATGTGAATTATACTTAATCCACATTCTAGCAAAATACATAATTTTCATTTTATTTGAGGTACTCTTACAAGCATCTTAGGAGTAGAAAGGGTGATGTGACAATGAGACACCATGAAGCATTTGAGAGACTAGAATAATCGTAAAATAGTAACAAATAGGTAATATGTCAAGAAAATGAATCCAAGAGAGCAAGGTACATTGGAACAGTCCCATAATAGTGTTAAGTCCCTTAAGGTTAATGTCCAGCACATGAAGCATGTCATAACTGAGCTGCAGAGAAACAAAATTTTAATGATCTTTCCTCCCTTTGGAAATAAATGTAGTTTCCTCTTAACAATGCCACATAGACCTCAAAATATCATGTCTAATCATCACTTAATTACTCACTCTTGATGCCTCTAATTTTTCCTAAGTGATGTGTGTAAAAAAGAGGCATATACATGTCTCATTTTTTAGTGCTTAGTGTTTAGAAAACATGAGAAACCCACAACTAGATTCTTAAGTGGGAATTTCCCAATAATCTTTGTCAGTAAGTTTTTAATGAATATATGGATAAATTTGCACACTATAACTTCTATTTTTCTTACTCTGCTCTCCTACCCTGTTAGTTCTCTGGGTGTTGTTGGAAGGAATAACAATGTAAGGAGACAAAATGAAAAATCTATTTTATGAAGAAAACATCTTTTAATTTCAAAAATTACTACTATTATTCATTCTGTGTAATCACACTCCTTCCCTGCTCCCTTACCTGCTCTCTCCTAAAAAAAATCCCTCTAGCTGTGAGGCTGTAACTTCTATGAAAATGGCCATCTCAAACTAAGCAAGTCTATTACGTATTTCATGGTTCCCTCTTCTCTCTTTTTCTTGTGACTTTATCACACACACTTTCTCCTGTGGAATTAATAAGTTTTAGAAAATAATGTTTGTCCTCAGAGCTATCTATTGCTACTCCTTTTTGTAGTCCTACTGAAGTTTGAAGTAAGGGCCTTTGTTTGTTAGTCTCACATTGCATTGCCACTTGAGCCATAACCCCAGCCAGCTGGTTTCTGATGGTTATTTTGGAGATGGAGTATAGTGAATTTTTCTGACTAGGATATCTTTGAACCATCCATCAACCTCCAAATCTCAGGTTCCTGGTTAACTAGGATTGCAGACATGAGCCATCAGTGCCCAACTCCTATGTTCCCTTCTTTAAGGGAATCTCTTCAAGTCTTCCTGATCCTCTTTATCACCAGAACTAAGTCAAGCACGTTTAAGAAGTCTCAGAAGGCTGGGAATGTGGCTTAGTGGTAGAATGCTTGCCTAACATGTGTGAAAGTCCTGGGTTCAATTCCTCAGTACCTCATAGACAGAAAAAGCCAGAAGTGGTACTGTGGCTCAAGTGTTAGAGTGCTAACTTTGAGCAAAAGAATCTCAGGTACAGTGCCCAGGCCCTGAGTTCAAGCCCCAGGAATAGGAAAAAAAACAGCAAAAGAAAAGAAAAAAAGAAACATATCAGAGTAATTTTAAGCCCTGGTCTCATTATACAAGCAGGCTGGCTTAAGGAATAGAAGGCAAAAGATGGTTCCAAA